CTTTCTTTTTTTTTCAAATTTTTCCTCGGATATGAATTTGTTTTGATATACTTGTAAATTTTGCCATCCGGGCTTTTTACCAAGCGAGTATAATTATTAGTATAATCTCTCTCTCTCTCTCTCTCTCTCATATATATATGTATATGAAAAATAATGTTTTAAGGTATGTTATATTTATGAGTTAAAGTATTCGATGTAAGGGATAGGGCATGCGTAAATATAAAAGCGGACATTGAGTTCAACACCCAACGGTGATAGTCTGTTTCATGCAAGATCACAATCTCCAGGCCTCGAAATTATCTTCAAGCATTAAAGGGACTATCGCCGCCTTGAGTTGACCTCAATTCATATATATATATATATATATATATATATATATAACAGTTGGTATGACGTTTGCCTGATAATGTAACTCTCCGGGTTTCAATTCTCGGTAGTGGATGCGCACTGCTGATGAGTACCAAATATAGGACGAAACGGCCGTCCAGTGCTTTCTGCATTCTGTTGAGGTTTCTTCAGACTCGATGAATTACTTAATTATAATTATCCCAAATCCTCCTAATTTTTATCACTTGTATATCCTTGCTTGAACCGGTTTCTAATGCTCTGGATGAAGCGGATTGGTGATAGTAGTCGCGGTCCCTGGGTGCACAGTCCTATACGTAAAAGAGAAACTCGGATGAGTTAGGGTTATGTTAGGGAATATGTGATGGAGCGGCGCTATATCGAGTCTGATTCGCTACCTCTTCATCACCGAAACCCGTTGGTAAGATGTTTGCCTGATAACATAACTTTCAATTCTCGGTAGTGGATGCGCACTCCTGATGAGTCCCAAATATAGGACAAAACTGCCATCCAGTGCTTTCTGCATTCTGTTGAAATTTCTTCTAGACTCAATGAATTACATAAATATAATTATCTCAAATCCTCCTAATTTCTATCACACACACCCGACTATTGCGTCTAGCATGAAACAGACTGTCGCCTCTAAGTGTTGACTTCAATGTTCACTTATATATATTTATATATATATATATATATATATATATATATATATATATATCGATTCTCCCGTTGGGTTCGACGTATGAGGGTCAAGCAGATCAGTTCCTAGGAAACTGACAGCCCGACACCGGCACATGAGATTCGATTATAGTGGTGAAGGTTTCGTGCAGAACCATCCACACTTTTTGAAGGGCCGAATACAGAGACCTGGTGCACTACGTGGCACAAGGTTCCCAAACAACCCTCCTCAGGTTTTGAAGTCAGAGTTGTCCTTCTCCTAGACCAGTTGCCATCCAAGGCTATAGAACCCAGTCTGTCCTGCTATGATAGGAGGCACGGTGTAGTAATGGTTATCGGCTCGGATTGAAGAATCGCAGAGCCGAGTTCGAATCCAGGTTGAATCCATTACATTCACTTACGTGCTAATACCCTTGGGAATGGTATGAATCCTCTTCTTCTCCCTCCCGCTATGGGTAAATGTGTGTGTGTATGCATGCACTTTTATTAATAAGTATGAAAGAATTAAACAACCGTAGACAATGACGTAATAATATCGGTAAGTAGATAAGTACATAGACGATTACAGATCGAAGAAATTGTTATATGAGCGCCATTAATGTGTTTTTTTTCCGGAACAGATTGACAGAGGTAGTTTCATGAAACCTGACTTAGACAGACGAACAGACAGACGGACTGACAGTGATATTAGCCTATTTTCCTTTACCAACTGGTTAAGAGATTGTCGGTAAAAGATTGTAAAGGATGAAAGAATGCCGATAAAAAAAGATCCAAAAAACCGCGAACATTATTTAATAAACGGAAGTGTCAAACGTAGTCCAACACAGTGATGCGGAAACTCGCTGACTGTAATGGCGGAAGGCATATTAAACAAGAAAATAAAAATCCAAAACGAAAAAAAAAATACTATGGAAGAAGCTAATAAATTTAAAGTAAAATAGTTTTGAGAACAACTTAAAGTATTAGTCGTAATACAACAGAAAAGAATGAAAGCAGACGACATTTTTTAATACAGATAGGGGAAAGAAAGGTAAAAGAAAACAAAAGAGTAAAAGAGGAAAGTAATATGTATAGATTATGAGAGAAAAATTTATATCAAAAAGGGAAATACAATATTAAAATGAATGTAGGAGAGTATCTGTCTATATTTCTGAGATAAGGAATTATGTACATTATTTACATTATTCGGACTATTGTCCTCATCTTTGTCACCATATTTATTACAACGTTTAAACAAAGTTTAAGAATTTTCCAAATGGAAAATTTGTAAAATGTAGGAAAATTCGTAAACTTAAGGAATCAGCACATATGCTAGGCCACAAAAATCTCCTGAGCCGACCAAGTATAGAAATGAATACAAAATGGGAACCAGTAATAAGGAGTGCCAGAGAAAAGCGATAATAACAACAAAAGCTGCAATATGAGCTCTGGTAAAAATATGTAACGATAACAGCAAAAAATTGCAATAAGAGCACTGATACAAATGGTTGCTGGATACATTAGGTTTATAATACCCAGAAATTCATACACAGATGTCCTCATGGCACAGTGGATAAAGGCGTTGGTTAGATCCAGTGAGAGGACCTAAAGAGTGTGAGTTCAATACCTGGTCAAGGCAGTGGAGAACTTGGAGAGAGGAATTAACAGGAGATAACTGATAACTGACATCCATTAAACATAGCACGTGGAACTAAAACAGTCTACCCCAGTGAGCGAAATAAAGGGTCAGTTCGACATTCCAACCACCTGAAGAAGTTGTAATAAATATGGCGACAAAGATGAGGACAATAGTCCGAACAATGTAAATAATTCATTTAGGACAGAATGAGAAACTGAAAATGGTAAAGAAAAAAAGAAAGAAATAAAGAAAGGGGACAAGAAAGAGAAAAAAAAAGAAATATTAAAAGGAAGAAGGAAAGAAACATGAATAAAATAGAAAATATTAAACAAAAGAAGAGAAATGAAATCATGAATTAAGGATGCAAATACAAAAAGGAATAACAATTTAAAGGTAAGGAAAGAATGAAGGAAGAAAGAAAGGAAGAAAGAGAAACAGAGACACAGATAGACACATATAGATGGAGACAGATAGATATATTTGTGTGTTTGTATGTATGTATGTGTGTGTGAAAAAGAAAGAAAATAAAGGATGAAGGGACGAATCTGAGCAGGAAGAAAAGAGACAATTCTATGAAAGTGAAAAAAAAGAAGTAAAATGAAGAAAAACAAACGGACATTTAACATACAGACATTTACGGATATTTACAGGCATTTACAGATATTTGAAAGGATTATTTTCTATTGTTTGCTTGATAATATTTTGTTCGGATGTGACTGAGATGATGACAACCTATAAATATATGTTCGACAGTGAGAGGTACTTGCCATCTTTTGCATTATAGGAGAGTTTCAATTTTAGGAGATGTGAGTGTGTCAAATATGTATGTCTTATTTGGAGTATAGATAAAATCATTTCTTCCCCTCTAACTCTACTGAAACCTGAGAGCCTTTCTCTTTGGTTGAATATCGTTTAGTTTGTTAGATAAATTCAGAGTCATATTGCTCGCCATTTTCTTTTTTCATATGTTTTTTTTTTCAGTTTTGTTTCTGAAGTCTTTGTTGGATATAAATAATGTTGGATTTTGGAATGAAATAAATAAAGGACAGTTCAGTTGAGAGGAGCAAGAAAAAATGCTTGAATATTTTGAATGCAGATTAGTTTCATTGGTCGGGTAGATTTGATAACATTATTATGTATGTGTGTATGTCTAAATTCTACACACATACACTCTATAAGACTTACGAAAAAGAAAACAAAAAAACACTGACGATAATTTAAAGAGTAATTTAATAAAAAAATGAACGATAAAAATGAGTTTTCGTTAAGTTTGGCGTCTTTTTCATCATGCTATGCTCTTTTTTTAAGCGATCTCATGGAGGTACCTAACATAAAACGTCTAAATTAACCAAACCTGCTTGAATAATAATATGCTGTCAATATATATATATATATATATATATATATATATATATATATATATATATATATAACTGCATTTCTAAAAAAAAAAAAAAAAATCATTACAACCAAAAACGTTTGCCGCACCTCTCTTCTCTTCTTTTTAATATACGTACTTTTCTCTGGTTGGAACCACTATAACCTCTTTCTTTTATATAACTACAACGAAAGAATGCCGCGAAGTGAAAAGAAAATCATGGAAAAACTTCTTGAAGTAAAATTATGGAAAATAAAGCATAATATTTTTTTCTAAAAAAAACACATTACAACTAAAAACGTTTGCGGCACCTCTCTTCTCTTCTTTTTAATATATATATATATATATATATATATATATATATATATATATATAGGTATTTTCCAAGCGTAGCTTAGATGTGGCACAAGGCCGAAAGAATGAGGCACCCGTGAGCATCGAACTCACTACTCAGTTGTAATTGTTCTAGCGAGACAAGCTTGCTAACCATTAACCGGCCTCGAGGTGCCCTATATATATATATATATATATATATATATATATATATATATATATATATATATATATATATATATATATATATATATATATATATATATATATATATATATATATATATATATATCACTATATATATATATATATATATATATATATATATATATATATATATGATGCATATATATATATATATATATATATATATATACCTACTGCATATATATATATATATATATATATATATATATGTGTGTGTGTGTGTGTGTGTGTGTTTGTGTTTGTGTGTGTGTGTGTGCATATGTATTATAAGTTTGGGAATATCTGAAAAGTTTAAATATTTTTTTTAGAATTGGAATTGACTGCAAAGACATCTTATTTGATGCTAAGACTTCTTGTTACTGTCTTCATAAATGTCTTTGAAAATAAGACTCCGTCATCCTCATTAGGCCCGCTTGTCCTCTACCTTCTTCTTAATTTTTAATGCCATTTGAACTGATCCAGGGAAGCCTGGGCGTGGTTCAGCAATGTGGGGTGAGATCATACGCCACATCTAAGAAGACAATCGGACAGTTTACCTACAGTTTTCTTGTCAGCGCCATTGTGAAAAAGAAATGAACGTTTTTTTTTGTGGTCTTTCTTTGTCTTTCTGACATGCCGATTAGTTCAGTCTCTGTTTTCAGGATAAATTTTATCTTTTTTTTCTTTTAGACAAGAAAAATGCTATTTTTGTTTTCTCTTTCTTCTTCCTCTTTTCTATTATTTTCAGATTTTTTTCTTTACTTCAAAAGTCATCGTTTTTCTTTCATTTTCATTCCGAATTCACTAATTTTCATTTTCTTATCTTTCTATTTTAATCTTACGCCATCTTCCATTCTTTTTTCATCTAAATCGTAATTCTGGCTGTTTTGTTTTATTTCCCACCTTTTTCATCAAATCTTCATCCTTTAGATCTCTATTTAAATGTATTAAAGTCAGAAAATGCAATTGCATTTCCTCGGAATATTTCTGATAGTGAACTGCTACTTTCCGTCATTGTCGGGTCTTGAATTTGCTGAAATCTAGTATTAAAAAAAATAGACAAACAAAAAAAGAAAAAAAAAAAATTTCATCAAGCTTATCCCATCTCTTTCTTTCTTTCTTTTTGTTTTCTTGTTACCGTTATTCCTCTTTCTTTCTTTTTTATTATGTATAAAAAACATAAATGAATACAAAGAATCTGTGTAGGACCCCAATAGACTGAGGTCGGTGTTCCTGCTCAGATTATTGCCAGGCTTTTGAATTCTGATTTTCAAAACTATTTACATTATTCGGACTATTGTCCTCATCTTTGTCGCCATATCTATTACAAAGTTTCGGCCGTTGTACACTCCGGCCGTCTTCAGGTGGTTGGAATGTCGAACTGAACCCTTATTTCGCTGACTGGAGTAAACTGTTTCTAGTTTCACGTGCCATGTCTAATGGATATCAGTTATCTATTGTTAATTCACCTCCCCAAGTTCTTCACCACCTTAGCCAGATATTGAACTCACAACTTCTCAAGGACACATGGCACAGTGGATAAAGGCGTTAGTTAGATCCATTGACGGGAGTTGTGAGTTCAATACCTGGTTAAGGCGGTGAAGAATTTGGAGAGAATTAACAGGAGATAATTGATAACTGACATCCATTAGATATGGCACGTGGAACAGTCTACCCCAGTGAGCGAAATAAAGGGTTCAGTTCGACATTCCAACCACCCGAAGAAGGCCGGAGCATAAAACGTTGTAATTAATATGGCGACAAAGTTAAGGACAATAGTCCGAATAATGTAAATAATGTGCATAATACCTCATCTCAGAAATATAGACAGATGCTGATTTTCAAGTTATGCACATAAACCCGACTTGCAAACCTCGTGAAAGATAGACATCCATCTCCTCTATCCTTGCCTTTTTTGATTTATAAATATTTAGAAATAATAAGAAATGTAATTGTCTAAGGACCGGTTGAGTAACCAGAAGTGTTTGTGTTGTGGAGGTATTTTGCAATGGAGGCTTGTATTTGTACTAAATCGGTCCTAAAATAGGTTCAACGTACAAAACGTTAGGAACTTGATATAATAGGTATGACGCAGAGTAATCTAGTTGTTGTCGCTGATACTTTCGTATTCGACTAACTGTCGTCCGACCTCGACTCACTGATTGACCGACCCGTTACTCCTATTACTCCTACTTATTATAGGTGGGAGAGTATATTAACTATAGAATAGGTGTGTTCCACCATAACAGTTTGACACCAGAGTTGAGGTAGGAGATTTTAGGAGGGAATTCCATTATGAAAATTGGCTTAACAGAATCTTTCTAGAATGTCGTAAGTACAATAGGGAAAACAATTAATAAAGTATGCCAGAAAAAAGTGTAGACATGTTTGCGATGATATTAGAATAATCTAAAAACTATACTGGCAGCAAATTGCCTGCATACGAATAGAAAAGGAATTCACGTAAAAAAATATTGAATAGGATGTAAGAGAAGGAATTGTGTTTTTTTTTTTACGGACTTAATCAACTTATACAATAAAGCCATTCTGAGAAAACAATAATGCATCGGACCAGAATTCACTATCGGCGGTCACAATCATAAAAAAATATAACATATGCAGATAACACAGTGCTGATAGCAAATGCAGAATGGAAACTACAAGTTCCTACAGATGGTAGTGAAGGAAAGAGAGAAGAAAGGACTAAACATCAATTGCAAGAAGACAGCCTGCATGGATGTTAGCAAAAAAGAACAGGCAAATAGGCAAATTACAAATTGGAGATATCAAAATGAAACAAGTGCAACAATTGAAATATGTGGGGGTTGTTTTAAAAGAGGAGAGAAAGTGGAACACCTAAGGCGTTTTTGGGATAGATAAGATGCTTTCCAAAAGCTAAGCACAGTATTAAGAAGCAGAAAAGAATCGTTAGACACACTGAAAATACTATTGAAATGTTATATAATCTATGGCAGTGAATGCTGGACAATCTCGCAGATGAAGAAGAGACTTGAATGTAGTTTTATAGAAGGACGCCATCGATCGAATATGCGTGGAATCAAACAAAAAACACATGCTTATCCTCAGAAACAGACAGTGGAAATTACTCCATCAGATAATGAGGAAAGAGGACTTGGAAATTTTCATACTGTTGTGGTAGGATCCACCTAATTTGCATAGTGGAGTACCGACCATATAAATATGGTTGGTACCGGGAAGAGAGTGGAGGAATCAAGAGATTCAACCAGAGACTCTACCCGACTGCGAATCAGTCAACACATTCTCCAGGAACGGTCTTACCAGGAATATACAAAAGACTATATGTAAATATTGTGTACACTTTCTTGTTTCAATACATTTTGTTCTAAGTACCTTTTGTGTTGCATTATTATTCCATGCATTAGTCAAGTTTCAACAGATACTCACAGGATAGATTGAAGGCAAGAGGTACAGAGAAAAACTCACAGGATAGATTGAAGGCAAGAGGTACAGAGGAAAACAACGCATAACCTACCTAGCGAGCTTTAGTAAATGGATGGCAGAACAAGATTTAGAAGAGATAACAAAAAGACAAAGTTTATTAAGAGCTAGAAATGACAGGAAGTTGTGGAAAGCCATGATCAACCATTTCCTAAGTGAACATGCTATGCAGAAGAGCAAGAATAGGAAAACAGAAAGCTTTAAAAATATAGAAGTAATAGTAAAAATGAAAGAGGAAATGAAAGAGAAACTTTAAGAATCTTATTTTATTCTTTTATGTACCGTGTCCCTTCAGGACGTAGGCGATCGTGCCTCTCCACAACTTCCTGTCTTTTCTAGCTCTTAATGTTTTTTTTAATTTTTTTATTTCTTCCAAACACTGTTTTGCCATCCATTTGCTCAAGTATGTTACGAGCTGCTTTACCTCAATCTATCCCGTGAGTGTCAGATTTTACAAGCCCTCTTCTCTTCCTCATGTTAAGTATAAGTTTCCTTTTTATTTTCATTTTCTCCAAAACCTCGTTGTTGCTCACATGTTCAGTCTATCGTCAGCATCAGATACAAAAATCAAATCAGAAAATCTTGTGTTTGCCTTGAGATATTGACAGAGAATTATTTGATAGTCGATCAACGACGCAGATTTTAGAGAAAATAAAATAAAATAATAGCAATTTATTTTTCATGTGGACTTTAGTATTTAAACAGTTTGCTTATTTCTTGAGTTATATCTTTCAATATATCGAGACAATTCTTGAGTTTGCTTTTATCGTCTCTGTCTTTCTTTTCCTATGTTTTCTTTCTTTCTTTCATTCTCGGCTTTGCCCAGATGTTTTTCCTTCTTCCTTTATTGCTTTTATATATATTTATTCTTTCTTCAATATTTGTTTTGGCTTTTTCTCTTTTTTTTTCTTTTGTAAATACTTTAATTGCCAACAATTGTTTTTATATTTTCTTAACATCGACATTTCTTAAATTCATTGTTTTTTTTTAAATTATTCATTCATTTTCTGTCGTTACTTTCTTTATTCTTTCCTTTTTCTTTAGTTTTATTTTTCCTTTTGGCTCGTTCTTTTTCTTATCATCTATCTATCCCAGTCTGTTTATCTCTATCTGAATCTGTTCATATCTATCTATCTATCTATCTATCTATCTATCTATCCTATCTATCTATCTATCTATCCCAGTCTTTTTTCTCTATCTGTCTGTTCATTCATCTATCTCTATCTATCTATCTATCTATCTATCTATCTATCCCAGTCTGTTTATCTCTATCTGAATCTGTTCATATCTATCTATCTATCTATCTATCTATCTATCTATCTATCTATCTATCTATCCCAGTCTGTTTATCTCTATCTGAATCTGTTCATATCTATCTATCTATCTATCTATCTATCTATCTATCTATCTATCCCAGTCTGTTTATCTCCTCTGATCTGTTCATATCTATCTATCTATCTATCTATCTATCTATCTATCTATCTATCTATCTATCCCAGTCTTTTATCTCTATCAATCTGTTCATCTTATCTATCTATCTATCTATCTATCTATCTATCTATCTATCTATCTATCCCAGTCTGTTTATCCTATCTGAATCTATTCATATCTATCTATCCATCTATCTATCCTCTATCTATCTATCTATCTATCATCTATCTATCCCAATCTGTTTATCTCTATCTGAATCTGTTCATATCTATCTATCTATCTATCTATCTATCTATTCCTATCCCATCTGTTTATCTCTATCTGAATCTGTTCATTGCTATCTATCTATCTATCTATCTATCTATCTATCTATCTATCCCAGTCTGTTTATCTCTATCTGTTCATATCTATCTATCTATCTATCTATCCTCTATCCCAGAATCTGTTTATCTCTTCTGAATCTGTTCATTTCTATCTATCTATCTATCTATCTATCTATCCCAGTCTGTTTATCTCTATCTGAATTTTCATATCTATCTATCTATCTATCTATCTATCTATCCATCTATCGTCGATTTGTTCCGCATTTCTATCTATCTATCTATCTATCTATCTATCTATCTATCTATCCTGATTCTCTATCTAATTTATCTATCTATCTATCTAATCTATCCCAGTCTGTTTATTCTGAATCTGTTCATCTATCTATCTATCTATCTATCTATCCTTCTATTTTTATCTCTATCTGAATCTATTCATATCTATCTATCTATCTATCTATCTATCTATCTATCTATCTATCTATCTATCTATCTATCCCAATCTTTTTCTCTATCTGAATCTCTTATTATCTATATCTATTATCTATCTATCTCTATCTATTTGTTCCTTCTAATCTATCTATCTATCTATCCTTATCTATCTATCCCAGTCTGTTTATCTCTATCTGAATCTGTTCATTCTATCCATCTATCTATCCTATCTATCCATCTATCTATCTCCCAGTTTTATCTCTATCTGAATCTGTTCATATCTATTCTATCTATTCTATCTATCTATCTATCTATCCTCTATCCCTCTTTTCCCATTCTGTTTATCTCTATCTGAATCTGTTTTATCTATCTATCTATCTATCTATTTCCATCTATCCCTATCTATCTATCCCAGTCTTTCTCTATCTGAATTATTCATTCATCTATCTATCTATCTATCTATTTATCTATCTATCTATCTATCCCAGTCTTTTATCTCTATCTGAATCTGTTTATCTATCTATCTATCTATCTATCTATCTATCTATCATCTATCTATCCCAGTCTGTTTATCTCTATCTGAATTGTTCATATCTATCTATCTATCTATCTATCTATCTATCTTCATCTATCTATCCCAGTCTGTTTATCTCTATCTGAATTGTTCATATCTATCTATCTCTATCTATCTATCTATCTATCTATCTATCCCAGTCTGTTTATCTCATCTGAATCTGTTTCATATCTATCTATCTATCTATCTATCTATCTATCTATCTATCTATCTATCCCAGTCTGTTTATCTCTATCTGAATTTGTTCATATCTATCTATCTATCTATCTATCTTCTATCTATCTTCTTCCCAGTCTATTTTTCTCTATCTAGATCTGTTCATATCTATCTATCTATCTATCTATCTATCTAATATATCTATCTATCTCTCTTTTATTCATCTGAATCTGTTCTTATCTTCTATCTATCTATCCTATCTATCTATCTATCTATCTATCAGTATTTATCTCTATCTGAAGTCTGTTATTTCATCTATCTATCCGTCTATCTTCCATCTATCTTCCTCATTCTGTTTGGTCTTTCATATTTCTCATCCATCTTTCTATTCTATTTCATCTATCTATCATCTGTTTTTCTATATCTGTTCATATCTATCCCAGTCCATCTTATCTATCCCATTTTTTATCTCATCTTTATTTCTATTCATCTATCCATCTATCTAGTTATTATCTATTCATTTATCCCAGTCTGTTTATCCTATTCTGAATTTTGTTCATATCTATTATCTATCCATCTATCCATCTTCTATCTATCTTCCCATCTGTTATCTCATCTGAAACCGTTCTATTTCATTTTATTCTATCTTATAACCATATCTATTTCTATCTACTATCTATCTTCTTCATTTTTATCTCTATCTGACCTGTTATCTATCTATCTATCTATCTATCTATCTATCTATCTTTATCCATCTATCTATCTATCTTTCTTTTTATCTCTATCTGAATCTGTTCATATCTATCTATCTATCCATCTTTATCTATCTATTTTATCTATCTATCTATCTATCCCAACTATCCTATCTGAATCTATTTCCATCCTATCTATCTATCTATCTATTATCATTCTATTATCATTCATTCATTCATTCATTCATCTATCCATCTCTGTTCATCTATCTATCCCAGCCTGTTTTTTTCTTTTAATCTGTTCTATATCTATTCATCTATCTATCTATCGTTATCTATTCATTGTATCTATCCCAGTCTGTTTATCTCATCTGAATCTGTTCATATCTATCTATCTATCTTTTCATTATCTATCTATCTATTTCTATTTATCCCAAATCTCATCTGAATCTGTTCATTCTATCTATCTATCTATCTATCTATCTATCTATCTATCTATCTCATTCTGTTTATCTCTATCTGAATCTGTTCATATCTATTCATCTATCTATTCTATATCTATGTATCCCCATTCTTTATCTCAGTTTTCATATCTATCTATCTATCTATTATCTATCATCTATCTATCTTTCATTCATCTATCTCTATTGATTTGTTCATTTATCTATCCTATCATCCCTATCTATCTTCTATCCTTTCTACATTTGTATTCTATCTATCTATTTCATTTATCTATCTATCTATCTATTATCTATCCTATCTATCCCCAGTCTGTTTATCTCTGTCTGAATCTTTCATTCTATCTTATCTATCCATCTATCTCATCTGTTCATCTATCTATCCCAATCTGTTTAT